TTCGACAATATTTTTCTTTTTCACATTTTTCTATTATTTGCATTTATTTTATAAGAATAATTTTTCCGAAGAAAATTGAAATTTAGATTTAGGAATAAGAAGTTTTCGACAATATTTTTCTTTTTCACATTTTTCTATTATTTGCATTTATTTTATAAGAATAATTTTTCCGAAGAAAATTGAAATTTAGATTTAGGAATAAGAAGTTTTCGACAATATTTTTCTTTTTCACATTTTTCTATTATTTGCATTTATTTTATAAGAATAATTTTTCCGAAGAAAATTGAAATTTAGATTTAGGAATAAGAAGTTTTCGACAATATTTTTCTTTTTCACATTTTTCTATTATTTGCATTTATTTTATAAGAATAATTTTTCCGAAGAAAATTGAAATTTAGATTTAGGAATAAGAAGTTTTCGACAATATTTTTCTTTTTCACATTTTTCTATTATTTGCATTTATTTTATAAGAATAATTTTTCCGAAGAAAATTGAAATTTAGATTTAGGAATAAGAAGTTTTCGACAATATTTTTCTTTTTCACATTTTTCTATTATTTGCATTTATTTTATAAGAATAATTTTTCCGAAGAAAATTGAAATTTAGATTTAGGAATAAGAAGTTTTCGACAATATTTTTCTTTTTCACATTTTTCTATTATTTGCATTTATTTTATAAGAATAATTTTTCCGAAGAAAATTGAAATTTAGATTTAGGAATAAGAAGTTTTCGACAATATTTTTCTTTTTCACATTTTTCTATTATTTGCATTTATTTTATAAGAATAATTTTTCCGAAGAAAATTGAAATTTAGATTTAGGAATAAGAAGTTTTCGACAATATTTTTCTTTTTCACATTTTTCTATTATTTGCATTTATTTTATAAGAATAATTTTTCCGAAGAAAATTGAAATTTAGATTTAGGAATAAGAAGTTTTCGACAATATTTTTCTTTTTCACATTTTTCTATTATTTGCATTTATTTTATAAGAATAATTTTTCCGAAGAAAATTGAAATTTAGATTTAGGAATAAGAAGTTTTCGACAATATTTTTCTTTTTCACATTTTTCTATTATTTGCATTTATTTTATAAGAATAATTTTTCCGAAGAAAATTGAAATTTAGATTTAGGAATAAGAAGTTTTCGACAATATTTTTCTTTTTCACATTTTTCTATTATTTGCATTTATTTTATAAGAATAATTTTTCCGAAGAAAATTGAAATTTAGATTTAGGAATAAGAAGTTTTCGACAATATTTTTCTTTTTCACATTTTTCTATTATTTGCATTTATTTTATAAGAATAATTTTTCCGAAGAAAATTGAAATTTAGATTTAGGAATAAGAAGTTTTCGACAATATTTTTCTTTTTCACATTTTTCTATTATTTGCATTTATTTTATAAGAATAATTTTTCCGAAGAAAATTGAAATTTAGATTTAGGAATAAGAAGTTTTCGACAATATTTTTCTTTTTCACATTTTTCTATTATTTGCATTTATTTTATAAGAATAATTTTTCCGAAGAAAATTGAAATTTAGATTTAGGAATAAGAAGTTTTCGACAATATTTTTCTTTTTCACATTTTTCTATTATTTGCATTTATTTTATAAGAATAATTTTTCCGAAGAAAATTGAAATTTAGATTTAGGAATAAGAAGTTTTCGACAATATTTTTCTTTTTCACATTTTTCTATTATTTGCATTTATTTTATAAGAATAATTTTTCCGAAGAAAATTGAAATTTAGATTTAGGAATAAGAAGTTTTCGACAATATTTTTCTTTTTCACATTTTTCTATTATTTGCATTTATTTTATAAGAATAATTTTTCCGAAGAAAATTGAAATTTAGATTTAGGAATAAGAAGTTTTCGACAATATTTTTCTTTTTCACATTTTTCTATTATTTGCATTTATTTTATAAGAATAATTTTTCCGAAGAAAATTGAAATTTAGATTTAGGAATAAGAAGTTTTCGACAATATTTTTCTTTTTCACATTTTTCTATTATTTGCATTTATTTTATAAGAATAATTTTTCCGAAGAAAATTGAAATTTAGATTTAGGAATAAGAAGTTTTCGACAATATTTTTCTTTTTCACATTTTTCTATTATTTGCATTTATTTTATAAGAATAATTTTTCCGAAGAAAATTGAAATTTAGATTTAGGAATAAGAAGTTTTCGACAATATTTTTCTTTTTCACATTTTTCTATTATTTGCATTTATTTTATAAGAATAATTTTTCCGAAGAAAATTGAAATTTAGATTTAGGAATAAGAAGTTTTCGACAATATTTTTCTTTTTCACATTTTTCTATTATTTGCATTTATTTTATAAGAATAATTTTTCCGAAGAAAATTGAAATTTAGATTTAGGAATAAGAAGTTTTCGACAATATTTTTCTTTTTCACATTTTTCTATTATTTGCATTTATTTTATAAGAATAATTTTTCCGAAGAAAATTGAAATTTAGATTTAGGAATAAGAAGTTTTCGACAATATTTTTCTTTTTCACATTTTTCTATTATTTGCATTTATTTTATAAGAATAATTTTTCCGAAGAAAATTGAAATTTAGATTTAGGAATAAGAAGTTTTCGACAATATTTTTCTTTTTCACATTTTTCTATTATTTGCATTTATTTTATAAGAATAATTTTTCCGAAGAAAATTGAAATTTAGATTTAGGAATAAGAAGTTTTCGACAATATTTTTCTTTTTCACATTTTTCTATTATTTGCATTTATTTTATAAGAATAATTTTTCCGAAGAAAATTGAAATTTAGATTTAGGAATAAGAAGTTTTCGACAATATTTTTCTTTTTCACATTTTTCTATTATTTGCATTTATTTTATAAGAATAATTTTTCCGAAGAAAATTGAAATTTAGATTTAGGAATAAGAAGTTTTCGACAATATTTTTCTTTTTCACATTTTTCTATTATTTGCATTTATTTTATAAGAATAATTTTTCCGAAGAAAATTGAAATTTAGATTTAGGAATAAGAAGTTTTCGACAATATTTTTCTTTTTCACATTTTTCTATTATTTGCATTTATTTTATAAGAATAATTTTTCCGAAGAAAATTGAAATTTAGATTTAGGAATAAGAAGTTTTCGACAATATTTTTCTTTTTCACATTTTTCTATTATTTGCATTTATTTTATAAGAATAATTTTTCCGAAGAAAATTGAAATTTAGATTTAGGAATAAGAAGTTTTCGACAATATTTTTCTTTTTCACATTTTTCTATTATTTGCATTTATTTTATAAGAATAATTTTTCCGAAGAAAATTGAAATTTAGATTTAGGAATAAGAAGTTTTCGACAATATTTTTCTTTTTCACATTTTTCTATTATTTGCATTTATTTTATAAGAATAATTTTTCCGAAGAAAATTGAAATTTAGATTTAGGAATAAGAAGTTTTCGACAATATTTTTCTTTTTCACATTTTTCTATTATTTGCATTTATTTTATAAGAATAATTTTTCCGAAGAAAATTGAAATTTAGATTTAGGAATAAGAAGTTTTCGACAATATTTTTCTTTTTCACATTTTTCTATTATTTGCATTTATTTTATAAGAATAATTTTTCCGAAGAAAATTGAAATTTAGATTTAGGAATAAGAAGTTTTCGACAATATTTTTCTTTTTCACATTTTTCTATTATTTGCATTTATTTTATAAGAATAATTTTTCCGAAGAAAATTGAAATTTAGATTTAGGAATAAGAAGTTTTCGACAATATTTTTCTTTTTCACATTTTTCTATTATTTGCATTTATTTTATAAGAATAATTTTTCCGAAGAAAATTGAAATTTAGATTTAGGAATAAGAAGTTTTCGACAATATTTTTCTTTTTCACATTTTTCTATTATTTGCATTTATTTTATAAGAATAATTTTTCCGAAGAAAATTGAAATTTAGATTTAGGAATAAGAAGTTTTCGACAATATTTTTCTTTTTCACATTTTTCTATTATTTGCATTTATTTTATAAGAATAATTTTTCCGAAGAAAATTGAAATTTAGATTTAGGAATAAGAAGTTTTCGACAATATTTTTCTTTTTCACATTTTTCTATTATTTGCATTTATTTTATAAGAATAATTTTTCCGAAGAAAATTGAAATTTAGATTTAGGAATAAGAAGTTTTCGACAATATTTTTCTTTTTCACATTTTTCTATTATTTGCATTTATTTTATAAGAATAATTTTTCCGAAGAAAATTGAAATTTAGATTTAGGAATAAGAAGTTTTCGACAATATTTTTCTTTTTCACATTTTTCTATTATTTGCATTTATTTTATAAGAATAATTTTTCCGAAGAAAATTGAAATTTAGATTTAGGAATAAGAAGTTTTCGACAATATTTTTCTTTTTCACATTTTTCTATTATTTGCATTTATTTTATAAGAATAATTTTTCCGAAGAAAATTGAAATTTAGATTTAGGAATAAGAAGTTTTCGACAATATTTTTCTTTTTCACATTTTTCTATTATTTGCATTTATTTTATAAGAATAATTTTTCCGAAGAAAATTGAAATTTAGATTTAGGAATAAGAAGTTTTCGACAATATTTTTCTTTTTCACATTTTTCTATTATTTGCATTTATTTTATAAGAATAATTTTTCCGAAGAAAATTGAAATTTAGATTTAGGAATAAGAAGTTTTCGACAATATTTTTCTTTTTCACATTTTTCTATTATTTGCATTTATTTTATAAGAATAATTTTTCCGAAGAAAATTGAAATTTAGATTTAGGAATAAGAAGTTTTCGACAATATTTTTCTTTTTCACATTTTTCTATTATTTGCATTTATTTTATAAGAATAATTTTTCCGAAGAAAATTGAAATTTAGATTTAGGAATAAGAAGTTGTGCCTTCTTTTTACTCCACTTTTGGTACTTTGGCTTTTGATACCGCCCTGACACTTCTTTTAGACCAGGCAATCCCAGGATACACACTTCACTGTTATGAAAAAAAAAAAAGATGAAACTCCATATACACTTCTTTGTCCTTCACTCGTACTTTACTTTTTAACTTTCCTTCAAGTTCCACTTTGTTGTCACCCAGACCAATACCTTTGTAATTCACTTTTTCCACTTTTGGTTGTCCAATACTATTCCACACTTCACTGGTACAACATTGATCTGCGACGCAGTATCTACAATCATTTCCACACTAAGTTCTCCAAACTTCACTTTTTGTTTAATCCACTCTTCTTTTTCTACACTTTGCATTGGATCGAAGATATCCAACATTGCACAATATGGAGAACCTGAATAATGATTAGTACCATTATTAACCTGAGTAATGATTAATACCATTATTCCACTGCCTTTTGGGCTGATACTGTTTATCATTCAAGAAAATGCATACGCCAGTGACCTAAACGTTTGCACAGACTGCACTTTTTATGAATAACATTATGCTAATACTTGACGTTTGGTTTGGTCCACTCTTTTTTGCACTCACTTTCATTTCCACTATTTTCTAAACACTTTACTTTTTCCACTGTGTTGACTTCGGGCACTTCTTTTTTCACTTCACTCATTATCTCTTTTACAAGATACAGTGCCTCACTTTTGTTTGCCAAGAAGGCTCTACACTCTTCAATAATTTCCTTCAAAGTCACTGCATGCCCTTTTTCACTTTTACTTTCAACCGCTTTCATTGCCACTTGTCGCACTTGTTGCACCCGGAAGGACTTGAGATCTGCTACGTCGAGAATTATTTATTTCATATACATTTTTCCTTTCCATTTCCTGTGCAAACAACCACTTTATTTTACAATTTGCAAGCACACAGCCACTTGTAATTTTACTCAACAGACAACCACTTTGCTAATATAATATGAGTCGATGCGAAAAGAGAAATGGACCAAATGCAACCCCAAGCTATGCGTCACCAAGAGAAAAATAAATGGAAAGAGAATTAAGCAAGAAAGAAAACAAAAAGTGGTCTTAGAATTAATAAAAGTGTTTGTTTAAATAGTATTAGTTATTATTTAATAGTGGTAGTAGTTTGAGAGTTTTTTGAAATTTTTTATTATAGATTTTTTAAGAAAACAAAATTAAACTAAAAAATTTAATATTTATATAAGAGAAGACTTAATATAAATTTTAGAAAAAATTTGAATAAGAAATCATATTTAAAATACAAACGCTTTCTCCAAAAACTGTCCAATTAAGTTTACAATTAATGCACGAAATACGATAAATGTCAACATTTGTATATATATATATATCCTTAATAAAAATGTCAATGAACTTTTCCTGGAATGAACAATTTTTATAGTAATCATTTAATAGTTATTCAACAACATGTCTGTTTTCCATTTCTAAAATAATATATAAATTAATAGCCCAAAAAAGCATTCAAAATATATATAAGGATTGGGAAGGGCGGTAGGAAGGTAAGAACATAAGGAAAATGTATGATTAAAAAAAGTAAACAAAAGTTGAAAGTCAATAATTTGAATAAGCTGAAATGAGAAACATTTGATAATGGAATGAGGAAATTATTCAAATTAGTTTTTATAATGATCATTTAATAGTTATTTTAGATGATATGTTTTTTCTCCATTGGCAGATCCACAAAAATATTCATTTACCTATGTAGGATTGGCTAAATGTATCTATGGTTGACAATGAAGTGTTAAATCCGGCTTCCCCATGTTCTTCGTCTCGTAGCCTTTCCAACAATCCGAAAATATTGGTCCAGAATTTCTGCCATCAGTTTTTGCAATGATCTGGAACTAAACAGGGGCAGATGTATTAGATCAAAAATCGGTTACACTCACCAAGAAAACACATTTGTATCCCTAAACAATCCTCAAAATATCCATTGTTGAGGAAGAATACGGCAGGATTATTCTTATTTTTAGTTAAAAGACTTTCGTCTATTTCAACTACCATGTTATCACCTCCTAAATAATATAACACTCTATATTACCATTATTAAAGTATTGATCGATTAGAACAAGAGAGCTCTGAAGAGACCGGTTATATGGGCAGAGAAAAATTTTTTTCTCTGACTTCTCTCGCCCAATAATCTGTCTCTTCAGAGCTCTCTTGTACTAATCGATCAATACTTTAATAATGGTAATATAGTAATTATAATGATATATCTAATGACAAAAAATAAGTACCTAGCATCTTTTTGGCTTATTTACCAAATATCCACACAAATACACCTCAGATAATTATTCCAGTCAATCGCGAGCAGCCCAGGCAATCCCATCCTTAATTAATTTAATTAATTTTTTCATTAAATTTTAATTAATTTACGTTAATGTCCCAGAACGCTGTCTAAAAAGAAAACCTATTTATCAAATTTAAATACAAATATTACTTCTCTCGTAGTATGAACAGCATGGGTCAATCTTTTTAAAAAATTTATTCCTCATAATTGGTTCTCTCATATTTCTTAGATTGTTAGACTTTATTAGCTTTCAAATCTTTCCCGCGACACAAATTGCCCGCCCTCCTTGTCTTTAGTGAAAATTTTATGTTAAATATTAAGAAATTATATAACCGTTGGTTACGACCATACCGCGTTGAAAGCACGCCATCCCGTCCGATCTGGCAAGTTAAGCAACGCTGAGCCTCATTAGTACTTGGAACGGAGACGTCCTGTGAATCGGCGGTGTCGTTAATCTCTTTTTAAATAATGATTTTTTTAAAATTCCTCCCTTATAGTCATTTTTAAAATCTTGCCTATTTTTTGCCTATTAAAAGGGAAAACTTTCCCGAAAATTTTTGTGCTACTCCCAAAATTCTCTCAATTAATTTATTTCTCTCACAATTAATTTATTAAATACGTATTGGGGTAGTTAATTTAATTTTCTGAATATGGTGAGAAGGGAATTCTTTTTCTTTATTACACAATCATGTAAAAAGATTAATTCTCAAACAGAATATAAAAACGTTTGTCTTAAGGCTACATTTTATAAGAATGTTGGCTGTATAGAAAATGAATTCTCTACACTTGATATTTCTCTCCCAATTAATTTAGGCATTTTTTGACCTTCCTGGGGGTTTTTTACCTTCCTGGGTTTTTTTTATTAGTTCAGCTCGATCTCTATTTAAAAAAATTGCCTGGACCTGTTCCTGGACTCGAGTTGATTTCCTGACCTGGACTGGATCCTGGGCCTGTAGTCCAGGAACAACCCAGGAAGGTCAAAAAATGCCTGGACCTGGACTCTGGGTATAGGAAAAACCCAGGCCTTGGTCCAGGTCCAGCTCGATCTCTATTAATTATTACATGAATCGAAAGCTATAAATTCATATATGGATCGAAAGCTCTCTTTGACATAAAAAGCACACAATTGGGGTTATTTAAATATTTTATCCGACATTTAATTTTAAATAAAATAAGAAAATCGACAAAATTATTAAAGTATATTATTGTCCCAAGCATAATGCTTTAAAGTAAAGAAATATAATTATTTATATATTGTATAATTGGGATCAACCAAGTAGTATATCGCCCTATATATGGCACCTTTTATATCGAATCTCCTATATATCGCCCCTATATATCGCGTCGTTTTATGTCGAATTATCCTCTGTATCGAAAGTCGGAACTCTTATTCAAGTACTGTAAAATGTTGTTCAACAACACAGAAGAATGTTTCAACTCAATAAAATCTTGTTCGAACCGAAAAAATTATTCCAATGAAAAAATTATTATAACAAAATTATTCCAACACGGGAACAACCTTCCCGCTGTCGTGAACATCATTTATTATAAAAAGGACTTCATTTCCAACTTTCGATATATAGGGTTATCGATATATTGGAGATCGATACATAGGTTTCGATATACAACGGTAGGTCCGCATAATTTATGCATGTGTTATATTTATTTAATTAATACCTCAACGCAGTGACATAGTTGATTACTTTTTATGTAATTGCCCGTGCAACATGAAAATATAGCATCCACTAAAAATTAAAATAGTAACAAATTTAATAATGATGATGTAATATAGAGAGTATACAGTAATCGATAAACAGGCTAAAATTAAAAAGTTGCCGGATTTATACGAATTTTACGTATCTGAAGGTCTAAAAAGCAAGGCCGTTGTTCCCATTTCCACAATCATGTGTGAACTCCGCAGTTATAGAAAATGAATGAATCGCACGCAGTGGGGAATATAGAGTGACTACTCTCCTTTAACACGAATGATGGGCGGGCCGGCATCTTTGTTGAATAAATGAAGTGATCTGCCTTTGCCTATTCCTTTAAAGCTTATATGCAAACTATATAAGATATATAATATATATAAGCTATATATGCTTATATAAGCTACTTAGCAATCGCTTTCCCAGGATAAGTCATTGGAGATGATTAGCTTAGATAATGGGCGGCCAATAACATACTGGGAATATCTCTAGGAACCTCCGCTCTTAGTTATATTTATCATTCCCAATTGTTTCAGGCGGGTAAGGGAGCCTGAAACAGACCAAACTTTAAGTTAGATTTTAAAATATTGTTACATTTCTCATTTGTGCAATTATTGGCGAATCCGAACTGGAAATATTATTTTTAATTTTCTAAATTTTAATTTGAAAACCAAGGGACAGCCCAAAACCGCGCGCGGCCATAAACGGCGCAAAGCCATAACGAGCTGGAAAATTTCTGGCCCTTATGAATTTTGGTACCATTCTCTTTAGCTCGATGAGAGGAACTCGTTTAATACCAAATTTGGTAAGATTAAAAAGACTGAAGCAAGTTATGACTTTGCGCCTACTTGGCCGCGCGCCGTTTTGGGCGTGTCCCGAAAATCAAACCGTGTTTTTATGATAGCATGGATGCTCCTTGGGAGCCGGCATGTCCTCTAATGCTGTGTGAGTTTCAATTTGATATAAAATTGTCGATACAAAATAGATGGTAAAAATAAGGAAAATAATTTTGTTTGGCATTTTGTTTAAATTAATTTTAGGGGAGGATTATGAAAATTTTCTGTTGGAATTTGTTAATTAATTGAATGCTTCCCTCAATATCCACTCTGTTAATATATTAAGAATCGGAGACTAATGACGTTAAATTTTAGCAGGATTAAATTCAAAAAAAAATTTTTATTTTATTAAATTTTGTGTGAACAGCAGAAATTTTTTAATGTAAAATTTAGCTTCATAGCAGGGGTGTCGAAAGATATTAGCTATTTTACCTTGACATAAAATAAATTTAAAAATATTTTAATTCTCAATAAATTTCAAACTACAATTTTATTTATGAATTCAATTTTATAAAATTTATCTTCCCATTTTATTTATAAAACGTGGCAAATTTAAACACTTCAATGGAAAAAATCTTCTAAAAATGCTTAAATTCGATAATTTTTGAATTTTTCTGACGCAAATAAATTAATTTAAAAATTAATGTTAGTTTCTATTAATGATTTTTAATAAGAATTTTGGGAATAATTTTGTTTAGACCCAAGAAGTTTGGTAGTAGTTTGGTTTAGACCCCTTCCCTCCTGACCATTCTGAGCTTTTTTGCTTTACATATAATTTTATGATATATGTATCATTCGAAAGAGCTCTTCGAGCTGGGTTGAATGATACCAAGATCGATTAAATATGATGATTTTGAAAAGAATTATGAAACTAAATCCTCGTTGTAAAAGCTTTTTGAGCGGCTGCAAAGGATTAAAATAGACATAATTTTGTAATTCAAGTCAGATTTCGTAGGGAG